TCACTTACATATTTACATGGTGTTCACTTTCTTATTTTTTTCGTGTGTTGTAGAAAACATTTAAAATGTACTCATTGTTCCAAAACCCAAGTGGTACTGGTCCAAACAATAACAGTATACAATCATAGGTAGTATTAAATATTTAGTCTTGGATTCTAATGACTTTCGATTTGTTGTTCTTTTCAGAGAATACTAGCACAATGAATGAAAATAATAATCCACGACATCAACCATTTACTCAGGTAGGCATAAGGACAAGTACAAAATAAAACGAATGTACTTTCTTTAACCAGTTGGGATCGACATACAAAAACCAAGGACAACTAGAAAAAGCAGTTGGAGAGTACGAGAAAGCACTTAATATTTATTTGATCTACTTGCCCTAAGTTGATCCCTTATTAATTGATACGTACAATAACTTGGGTTCGATTTACGCACAACAGCAGGATTATGTTCAAGCATTGTCTTACTGTACAAAAGCTTTAGAAACTGCTATGAAAGATCCTAAATCAAATGAAAAGCAAATTGCTATGGTACATGAAAACTTTGGAATGATCTACAGTGGTCAACACAATTATTCAAAAGCATTAGATTCATATGAGAAATGTCTTCGTATTGTCTTCAGAATCTTGCCGTCTAATCATCCTGTCCTTGCAACAATCTACACCAGTATCGCTTCTATTTATGAAGCGCAGAACGATTACTATATTGCCTAAACTCTTTATAATGAAGCACTTCACATTCAATTAACGTCGCTTCCAGCAAATCATCCGTCATTAGTCACAACTTATATGAGTTTAGGTCAAACTTTATATGATCAAGGGCGAGTAAAAGAAGCTTTAGTATATATGCACGAGGTGATGCATACTCTTCAATACAGCAAACAAAAACATCATTCAATTGGTCAGTTTGCTATAGATAGGAACGAGTCAACTACAACAACGGAAAGTCAAAAAGATGAAGACGATATTCGATTATTCAATATAATAATGAAAAATCTGAAAATGAACACTACCGGTATGGTTCATGAAGATGATGGTGAGATTAATATAAGCCTAGAAGAGGGTTTCCAATTCGTTTTTCACTTGGGCGGTGAGGGCGTGGGTGAGTATTGAATATAAAAGAATGCCACGACGAATTTCGACCTTTCTCAAAGGTCATCATTAGGTAGCTTTAGTTCTGCATTAATTTAAAATAAATTCTTTATAATTTGAAATAAATAAATTAAATTGGTTGTTAACAAAGTTCTTGCGTTTTTCCTAAAAGTTTCCATACTAAAGGTACATATATGGGGTGCGAATATCTTTCGAATGATGATAGAGCCATCGATATGGACGTTGACCATGGATTGAAAATGAATCTTTCTCAGAAAGAGATTCGACTGCTTTTACTTCATGAATTCCGTCTGGGTCGCAAAGCAACGGCAGCAGCCAGCAACATATGCAGCACGATGAGCGAGAATGTACTCTCCACCCATACGACACAACATTGGTTTAATCGCTTTATGAACGGTAATTTTGAGCTCGTCGATTTACCTCGCTCCAGTAGACCAATGGAACTGGATGTGGATCTTTTAAAGCATCTTATTGAAGAAAATCCCTGATTGACTTTACGGTGTTTAGCAGAGCAGTTTGGGTGCTCTCATACTGTGGTGGAAAAACATCTGAACGAATTAGGCAAGACATGAAATATGGAGTTTGGATACCCCAAGAGTTATCGCCACATCAGCTTCAACACAGGATTGATGCTTGTATGGATTTAATGACATCTCACCGCAACTACCAATGGTTCCGCAATCTTATCACTAGCGATGAGAAGTGGGTGTTGTAGATTAACTACACGCACAGACGTCGGTGGCTGAGCGCTGGTCAAACAGGCATAGCAACACCTAAGACTGATCCACAACCCAAGAAGGTGATGCTGAGCGTTTGGTGGGGTGTCAATGGAATTATTCACAGCGAAAGTTCTTCCAAATGGTTGCGCCATCACTGCTGATCTCTACTGTCAATAATTGGACCGGGTTGTCGAAAAACTTCAGGGAAGGCAGGATCGAATTAATTATTTGCATGATAACGCCAGACCCCATATTGCAAAGTCGACCCGCGAAAAATGATTGAAGCTGGGATGGATTACCGTTTCTCATTCATCTCATTCACCCGACTTGGCTCCAACAGACTACCATTTATTTCGTTCTCGATTTGGCGAGATTCCAGTATTACGTAATCATGGTTCTTTAGGAGATCTCTAGAAAGTCCCTTTCTAATTTTATTTTATTTCCTCTATTCTTTAAATTTAAACTTTAACACTGAACTTTTTCGATTTTTTTGATAAAGGTCAAA